GTTTCGGGGGGGCCATGCGAGAGTGAGGAGGCCAAGACCCCCCCAAAAGTGGTAGAGGAGGAAGAAGAAGAGGAGGAAGAGTTGGATCCCAGGATACAGGTGAGGACTGGGTGAAGAAGGCTCCTTCCCAGTTCCCCCCCCCATTTTTTTGGGGAGGGGGCACGATGGATCTTTTTTTGGGGGGGGGCAGGGGGGGTCCTCCTTCCTCACCCCGTGTTTGGTGTCACCCCCAGGAGGAGCTGGAGCACCTCAACCAGGCCAACGAGGAGATCAACCGCGTGGAGCTCCAGCTGGATGTGAGCTGCTCCCAGTCCCAAACTGGGGTCCCAGTCCGTGGCCCCCAGTCCTTGTTCCTTGGTCCTTAACTGGGCCCCCAGTCCTTGGCCCCAGTCCCTAACTGGATTCCCCAGTCCTTGGTCCCTCCTCCTTAACTGGGCCCCCAGTCCTTGGTCCCTCCTCCTTAACTGGGCCCCAGTCCTTGTCCCCCAGTCCCTAACTGGGCTCCCTAGTCCCTGTCCCCCAGTCTTTAACTGGGTCCTCCAGTCCCTAACTGAACCCCCAGTCCACGTCCCCCAGTCCTGGTTGCCTGGTCCTTAACTGGGTCCCCCAGTCCTTGGTCCCTCCTCCTTAACTGGGTCCCCCATTTCTTGTCCCCCAGTCCCTAACTGGGTTCCCTGGTCCTTAACTGGGCCCCCAATCCTTGATCCTCAGTCCTTAACTGGGCTCCCCTGGTCCTTAACTGGATCCTCGGCCCGTAACTGGTCCCCAAGTCCTTGTCCCCGATGCTTAATTGGGTCCCCAAGTCTTGAACTGGTTCCCCAGTTGTCATCTCCCAGTCCTTAGCTGGTCCCCAAGTCCTTGTCCCCCCGTCCTTAAGTGGGTCCCCTGGTCCTTAACTGGGTCTCCAGCCCTGAACTGGTCCCTCAGACCTGGTCTTCTGGTCCTTAACTGGGTCCCCAGGTCCTTAACTGGTTCTGCAGTCCTTAACTGGTTCCCCAGTTGTCATCTCCCAGTCCATAGCTGGTCCCCAAGTCCTTGTTCCCAGTCCTTAACTGGATCTCCACCCCTGAACTGGTCCCTCAGACCTGGTCTTCTGGTCCTTAACTGGGTTCCCCTGGTCCTTAACTGGATCCTCTGGTCCTTAACTGGATCCTCAGCCTGTAACTGGTCCCCAAGTCCTTGTCCCCGATGCTTAATTGGGTCCCCAAGTCTTGAACTGGTTCCCCAGTCGTCATCTCCCAGTCCTTAGCTGGGTCCCCTGATCCTTAACTGGGTTCCCAACCCTTAACTGGTCCCTCAGACCTGGTCTTCTGGTCCTTAGCTGGGTCCCCTGGTCCTTAACTGGGTTTCCAGCCCTGAACTGGTCCCTCAGACCTTGTCTTCTGGTCCTTAACTGGGTCCCCTGGTCCTTAACTGGGTTTCCAGCCCTGAACTGGTCCCTCAGACCTTGTCTTCTGGTCCTTAACTGGGTCCCCTGGTCCTTAACTGGGTTCCCAACCCTTAACTGGTCCTTCAGACCTGGTCTTCTGGTCCTTAACTGGGTCTTCTGGTCCTTAACTTGGGTCCCCAACCCTTAACTGGTTCCCAAGCCCATACTGGTCCCCTTCCTGCTGGTCCCCCTGGCTTCTGCCCTTGCTGGGCTGGTTGGGAGGGCAGACCCCGCTGTCGTTGGGGACAAAGGGGACACAGGGGACACGTTGTCCTTTGCCAACAGGACGCCCGCACCGCCTATCGCCGCATCCTCTCCGAATCCGCCCGGAAACTCAACGCCCAGGGCTCCCAGTTGGGCAACTGCATCGAGAAAGCTCGACCCTACTACGAAGCCCGACGCTTGGCCAAGGAGGTACGGGTCTAAAAAATCATAGAATCATCATTGAGGTTGGAAGAGACCCTTGGGATCATCGAGTCCAACCATCTCCCCTACTCTACAAAGTCCTCCCCTACACCATGTCCCTCAGCACTGCATCTAAACGGCCCTTAAACACAGCCAGGGATGGGGACTCC